ATTTGCAGTTGTGGCCTTGTTTTCTCATCCCCAAGCCTGGACATAGTCCTTGGTTTAGCTGTTCACAGTGTAGGAACAGAAGATCCAGGCTGAAGCAGCCTCCTGGCACAGCCATTCCTGAGGGTGTGTGTATTGCTATCAGGAGAGTGGAGTACAAGGGGGGTGAGGCTGGGAGTGCAAAGCCCAGGTGGTTGCACATCAGATGTTGTCAGAGGTTTTTAAGGAGTAACAACTCGCATATCAGGCTTTTTTGGTGAGGGATGAGATCCTCAAACCTGAATGTTCACAAGTGAGGCAGCCCCAGCCCTATGGGTTGTCCCAACACGCTTGGGGCAGATAAGCACAGCGGAAAAGCCCGAGGAACTGCTGCCAAACGACTGGGAAGATGCAGCCCACGGTGTCTGTTGTGTCTGAGATCTCTGTAAAGTCTCTCGCATCTTTCCTCAAGTTTAGTTTTCCAGTGGAGGCTGTTGCAGTAATGAGAATGTCTCCCATCTGCTCCTCACATGGCTTGGCACATTTAGCCAGAATATATATATTTTTATTATGGGGTTAGCCAGTGGTAACCATGACAATTAGACTTATCACGCAGCAGTTTTTTTCCCTCCTTGAGTCAGGTTGAAATGCTGACAATTAAATGGATACAGTACACTTTAGAGATCCATCAGTCTCTTTGTTGTCTTGACAACCAGAGTATATTTAGAAATGTAACAAGTACATGGAGTTCAATTGCACTTTTGCTAAAACATAGTTTTGTAGCTTGAGAATTTAATCTGTTGTTTGTAGATCCAGGTGCTTATTTGAGCTATGCCTGACTTTCTCTTTGGTCTCTCTGGGAAGCTCCAACATTGGCTGGTGGAAAGAAGGTCTTTGTCAAGCAGGGAGCAAACCTGCCCGCTGTGTGTGGCAGGGGCTTGGGTGAGGGGCTGGCAGCCACTTCCTGCTTGGGTGCTGGGTGTGCTGGTGTTCCTGTGCCTGTTGGTTTGTCGTGCAAGAGGCACGTGTGTGGTTGTTGTCCCAGATGCTGGTCTCTGTAGATCCAGCTCAGCAAACAGGGCTGGGGAGCCACAAGCAGCATGTCCAAACACCTTCTCCAAAATGAGCTGCTGTCAGGGTTTAGAGGCACTTTGGTACAGGAGGACAGTGCCATGTTGCATGACACTGGCAGACTGTGATGGCTCTTCTCCTGCCCCTGAGCTGCCCAAGATTTGGTTGCAACTCTTGGCCATGGAAGCAATAGAAAGGACTGTTTCTCCATATAATTTCTTCTGTTTTGTCTTTGATATGATGGGGCCGTGTTTCTTTGATTTTAATACTATTTTAATGCTACTACTAAATTTAATTTTTATTCCTTCCAGTTTGACTGGCAAAATTGAGTTCATCCTCTTCCCCGCTGAGCTGGAATAGCAGTGTGTGGGCTAACTGTCTGGAGCTGTGGATTTTTAAGGCTGCATCCAGGACTAGAAGAGAAGGAGGGAATTACGATGGAGTGCACTTTATGGAGCTCTAAATAAGCCTGTCTCCCAGCACCCCTGTGCACACACTGGTGGTGGGTGTGTCTCGAGTGTCTGTATTACTCCTTGCCCTTTCCCTTTTGAGCCAGGGGAGAGCTGTGGTTGGTGCAGGCACCTCTGTGGGTGTGACAGCCATACCTGCAGATGTGGTGATGTGCCAGCCCAGAAGAGCAGCTGGGACGTGTGGCCCCCATCTGCTGCAACCCTACAGCCCAAAGGCTGTGAGACAGGGATTGGCACCACAGTGCCCTTGTTGCACTCTTAGCACAAGACCTGGTGGTGCCACTGCCTGGCCTGATATGCTGGCTTCAGATCCATGTCTGGGCATGTGTGGATCAGAGTACTTCCCTGGCTTGAGTGATAAATGAATAAAATGAAAGTCAGATGAGGAAATAGCTTAAATGTTCCCTGCTGCCCCTCTACCTTCTGACCCAAAGTTGTCCTGGTCAGGGCTGTCCCTTCAGAAGGCTCACAGGCTGAGGAGCTGCTATAATGGACTTCTTTGTGGTGAGTTGTTGATGGCCTTTCATAATTAGCACATCCCATGGCAGGGCCTGGGATGTTTGTGTATTTTCTGTAAAACATGAAGCAAGACTCCTCCGTTTCTCCCTGTCTTTGGCTTGGCTTTTAGTTGATTCTTAGCAATATAATTTAGTCAAGAGAATTGAAAAAACCCAAATGAAACAGAATTCTCCTTTATCAGGAAGATGAGTTAGAGCAGATGGAGTGGCTGTTTGCTGGAGCCATTTGGTGAGATGGTTTAAAGCAGACAATGGTTATGTCCATGGCATAGTGTTGTTCATCCCTGGGCAGAGATCTGTAAAACTGGTCAGGAGTGCTGCTCTGCTCCTGGGGAGCACAGCCAGCACAGGGATGGTTTATTACCAGGAGGTGAGGAAGGCTCCAGGGAATGGAGTCCACCCTGAGGTCAGATAATAGGAACAGTGACAGCCAGCAAAATGTATCTGTATTTCCTAGGCTGCACAACATTTTGTCTATGCACTATACCCAGAATATTAATAAGGCTCAGAAGGAGGACAGAATTGCATGATTTTGCTTCCTTCTTTCCTGTGTTTCTTTTTCATTCATTACCTGTCAAATAATGTGGTTGATTTCTCAGTGTATATGCACAGCTCAGTTTAGTGTTTGTATTTTCTTTCTTCTCTCCATTTCACCAATTTCCCAATAAAAATTCCAAACCATAGTTATATTTCCACTCTAGCTCTGTTTGTGGATTGTTAACATGCTTTGTTCCAGTGTTTAATAGCTGCTGGGTTTTATTCTTAAAATATAACCACCAAAACCTAACAATCCTAATGACCATTCAAGAGTGCTTTAAACAAGTTATCCCAATCCATGTGACAAGGATAATGGTCTTCTATTAGAAGATACTTAGCTGGAGGTTGGATGAGCTGTAATGTTTATGGGTCTGCAGATCTGTAACCAGACAAACTCAGAATAACTCCTTGGATTTCAGTGGAGCTGTATTTGTTTATTACAGCTGAGGCTTAGGCATTACTTTAGATGCAAATTGCAACCTCTGTGAAGTTAAGTGGGGTTTTGATTTAATTTCTGGAAGCAGTAATGTCCGCAGAGAAGTGAAGAGCTGGGACCTACACAGCCTGAAGTCTGTAACTTTGAGTTGCTCCCTTTCACTTGCTGTCAAGATCAGATTCCTTTGGTTGGGACTACTAATTGAAATGCAGCTTCTCTTAAGCATCTCCTAAAGGCAGGCAACAGAGAGTGGAAGTGCAGTCTGTGCAGATTATGCTTCTCTCTCTCCATATTTTGCAGAAAATGCCACTGCTTGGGTGGTTCTCTCTGACTTGTGGTTGGGCTGTTGACCTGGAGCTTGTGCCTTCAGCTCCAAAAATGCAAAGGCTCTGTGCTGAGTTATCTGGCTCTGATGTACTGGGAGCTGGGATCTCCTTTCCCCCAGCTTGCCTGTGTCCGTGCAGTGGTCAGGAGACGTGGACCACTGCTCATCACCCCACTGTGTGTGGCATAAGTGATTCACCATGCATTCATTTCTGGTCACATAAGGGGCATCAGTTTAAAGCAGACTTGAGACATAGGTTAGTGTTAGCTATTTGAAGTCTGAAGTCTGAAAGCAACATCAAACAGGGAGCAGAAAATGTATCATGCACAGAAGAATCTCTGGGATTTGCTTTTCCTTTTAAAAAATAATAGTAATAAATTCCAAACTGTTTGCATATGCTGTCTCCTCTGTGGTCAGGACACCTGTCTGCCTCTTTGCTGATACTTGATACAGGCTTACAGTGCTTGCAAAAATGTTAACGTGAATTTTTTGTCATGGCAAATATGAAAAGAATATCCAGTGTCTGTGTGGGCAGGTTCTCAGCAAATTTTTCTCTGCTTTTTGCACTTCGGTGTGGATCTGAAGCAACTGCTGAAATTCTGCTGCCCTTCCTTCACCAACACCAGGAGGGCAAAGCTGCTGCCCTGCCAGACCTGACTCTCCTGAGCAAGACAGCTGATGGTGGGGCTAATGAGTTTTAGCCTGACTTCATTAAAAAAATAATATAGGCAACTGGCTCGAAGTGTCTCACCTTCTCTTTAATGACTTTTGATCCTCGGCTGATCTCAGGAAAATAGGGGTGAGGATGCAGTTAGGAGGAGATCACCTGGTGACACCAGGAGCATGGTGGGCTGGGAGACCAGGGCTATGCCAAGGTGAACCTTTTGCTAATCATCACTAGTACTTTTTAAATTTGTTTCTTCTCCAAGACTGAGATTAAAGGAAATAGAAAACATCAGAGTAAGCTCAGATATCAATAAACTGGAAGTATTAAAGACTGCTGGTTGAAAGAATCTTGTGGTAACTTGAAAAAAACTATGTTTTCTCTTTAATTGGGTGTCTTTGGAGGCACCTAGAAAGGAAACCAGGGCTGAAGGTGGAGGTGGGGTTTGGGCTGTCCCACCCTGACTCTTTTTTCACAACAGCTGTGTGTTTAATGTGTCCCCTCTCTGCTGTGGTGCTCCTTGATGCTCGCAGGGCAAAGCCAGGGCTGTGGCAGTGACTCATGCTGGCCCTGAGCGCTGGCTGGGGCTGGGGAAGAAGAGGCCCTTTAATCATGAGAGGTAGAAGGGCGTCTGGTCAGGCTTTGAAAGAGACTTTGTTACCTGCAGCCTGTACGTCAGTGCCTTTCACCAGCTCTGCCGTGATTTAAAACAAGTAGCTTCTCTTCCAAATAAACCTCAGCTACCTCCACACTTGCTAAGATATAATCTGTGCTGCCAACGAGTGAAAAACCCCTGTATGGGTCAAAACAGGGACAGACTGACACATGACTTGTGTCAGAGGGGAGGAAAAAAGGCTATGGTCTCCTCTGTACAGGAGGGCAGCTGGCCTTACATGCCCTTTTGGGGCTGTTTTCTTGGCAAGGTATTACAGCCAGCTTGATTTACTTTCTGCTTTTATGGTGAGCAAAACATTGATTCTGACCTTTCTGTTTGCACCCACAGAGGTCCCTTAGAAGAGCCTGTCTGTACGTCTGACTGTGGGTGCCTGACGGGGCTGCCTTGCTTCCAGGTGAGAAATGGATCAGCTCCCAGGGCTTTTGGCAGCTGCTGAGTTTAGGGACAGTGGGAAGATCTCAGTACCATGTTCTTCAGCAGCTGATGGGCATTTCTCCAAAGACTGGGGTGGTGGGATGCCAGCCTGCCCAGGAGGCTTGAGGTGGTTTTACCGTTTCTGGGTTCAAGTTTGGAATTAGCAAACATACAGGCCCCTCCTGCAGATTGAGAGTGTTGCATGGGAACAATTGGTTGGTCCTGTGGGTAGTGTTGCTTTGACCTCTTTTTTGAACAAAGCTTTCCTGGGTGTGGACCTGAACTCATGCCCCATCCATGATGGCTCTCTGCAGGCTGTAGATGTTCCCAGCTGGTGATGGAGAGCTGTATTGTTAGCTGAATCTAACCGTGTTTCAGTGGACAAATAGAAATTGTGAGGAGCAAATTAATTCATTCATCGGAACTGCCAATCCTGTCAAATTCACTGGAGATATTTAGCTGTGGCTTAAAGGTTCACTGTGTGAGCCACCAGAAAGTATTATAGGAGTCCTTTGCTGGATTATGTGTAGGACATAAACTGCCCTTGTGCCCTTCCCATGATACAGTGGTTTGATTGCAGAGCAGGACCAGTGTCAGGGCAGTGGGTCAGTCCTCAAGCCTCTCTCAGTTGTGCCACCCCAGGAGACAGAGAGGTGCTAGAGGTGCTGCAAAGCCATGGCAGTGGGGGAAAGAAAGCAGCTTGTGCAGCCCTGCTGAGAAGAGGAGAATATGAGTGACCAACTACCCTGGTGGTTTTACCAGTGGAGCTTCTTTGTTTGCTGTGATGTTACCTGACTTTAGGATCATGAGTCGGGCCAAAATCAGGAACAGTGAATCTTCACTCTGTTGTGTCACTGAATTTAATTGTGCTCTTATTCTTCTCTTTTGATACACAATGTATGTCCCTACTTTCTTCTTGAGTCTAATTTTTGTGGTTTTTTGGGGTTTTTTTGTGGGTAAATTATGTCTAGGTGGAGATGAGATTTCAGTATCCTGTTTACTGCAAACAGTTGGGGCCATTAATAAATGTTGACAGACAAAGACAGACCAGGGATTAATAAGTAGAGGACAGGAGATTAATAGCAAGAACATAGAATCTGGTTCAAGGCCTGATCTTCCCAGTTGCTGGGCTATGGAAGATTAATGGTTGCTCTTCTGTTAGTCTCACTCTTTCTGTGGTAGCTTTCCTGACTAGGTTTAATAAACCATCCCAGTGAGTTGGTATAAATATGAAATCTAGGAAGAAGCTTATTGTTAAATTAACTAAAGATGTCCTTATGTTAACTAAATGAAACAGTATTAGTTTTGCTTTCTTTGCTTTCTAGTCAGCACTTGAGCAACAACATCAACGCACTTGTGAGTGGTGAAGCCAGATTTTCAAGTACTTACAACTCCTCTCAAGACAAAAACGTATCATAAAATGTATTTTGTGAAGCAAGCTGTGTCTGACAAATTGCTTTTTCACTCTGTGTCCTGTGCAAGAGATTGATTTCACTTCCCTTGACTGGGTTTTCAGCTTCATTTCTGTGAAAAATTGGGCTCTTGACCTGTTGCATCTGGTCTCTCATTAGGTTTAGTGTGAGATTAGATCATTGCAAGAAAACACTAGCTTTTGCAAACAGCATTCCTGGTTAAATTTGTGGGAGAACTGTATAACATGGGACTGCATCACAGAAAGTTTTATTGTGATAGAAGGGTGTGTGCTGTTCATGGTATCCTATATAGAAAGTCAGCTTCAAACTCTTTCTTTTTAGGCTGGAACTGTTGATTTAAGCACTCCTGTAGTCTTTTGACCTCTGCCCTCAGGTATTTTCCAGTCTCTGCAAAGATGACCCCCAGCCCTTGGTGCATAAGGTTATAGTGATATATAGGTATGTGTATGGCCGAAGGAAGCAGCTGTGTCCCTGTAACAATGAGCGTGATGCAGCTGGGACTGATATCAGAACTTCATGCAGCAATAGCTGAATTTCTTTTCTGGGGAAGAAAGCCTGTGCACTGCTTTGGTGGCCCTGTGACAAAGCTTTCCCCCTCTTGTCTGCTCTTGCATACAGTGCCCTTGGCTTTTCAGAAGTTAATTGATTTGTCTATATTATGAGTCTCTCTTTAATTTTATTTGTGTAAAGAAGAACACACGCTAATCTTCCTCCAGAGAAATGTTTTGCATTGCTCCTCTTTGAACACTGGCCCTGGGTCTGCTGTTGCTTAATGAGTCTTTAAGTACACAGCTATGGTTCCCACGTGCTCCAGCCTTGACACACACATACTTGTACACCCACGTGCCTGCTCCCAGCTGAACCCAGCCCGCCCGCTGCTGTGGGATTTGTGTGCAAGGCAGCACCTCCCTGGGAAGCCCTGCGTGTGAGAGGGGCTTTATACCTACAGAGAGATAGACTGAGCCTCACATGAGCTGTCCTGTGAGTTGGAAGGGCTGTAACCTCTTTACCACCCTGTCCTCCCACCCCTGGCTTGTTTAAAGAGCGTCTGGAAGCGTGGATTCCTGTGGGCTCGCTGCCTGCGGTGGGGACCCGAGCGAGCGCCGAGCACTGAGCCCGGCACCCGATGCTGAATTACTGCCTGGAATGCCACTGGCTGCCAGATCCCTGATAGCTTGTTTTTAATGAAGATTCCTCCTGTAATTCCTAGAATATCTTTCAGTGTAAAAAAAAATGAGCGGTGTGTGTATTTTGCTGTGGGCTGAATTTTTTCCTGCTCTTCACAGTTCCCTCCGTGAACAGAGAGGAGGAGGAGGAGGGGGAAGCAGCTGACTGCTTTTTTTTGTTGTTGTTTTTGTTTTTCTACTTGACTTCTGTGAAATATGTGGCGATCAATCGCTCACGACTAACAAAATGTTTTTGTTTCTTTTTGCAAAAGCATATGGGAACTGCAAGAAAAGCATATGGGCGTTCTTAGGAAAACATATTGGTGAATGGACAAATTATAGCGGTGCCAATATGTTTTGGATGTCTGGCTAGACCACTACTACTGCCACACTTGCTGGCATGCAGACACATACACAAGATTTCCAGCGTGTGAGGGGTGTGTAGCTGCTCCCAGGGAAAGGCAGGCTGGGCTGGATCAAGCCCCTGCTGAAACAGTGCTGTGATCCATTTTTGGGGCACGTGGCAGCCTCATTGTGTCCTAGGGTAGGCTCTGGGCTCATGTTTATGGCAGTGTATCCATTCTGTCAGGAGACAGAGCCCAGAGATCCACTTGCAGCTGGCTGCAAGCAATGATAATGGTAACCATTTTTCTTTCCAAAGCACTGGACTGCAGTCCTCATAGCACCTGAGCTTCTTGCAAACAGCTAGGCAGCCTCTGGTTTTCCTCTGCTGCCCTAGCAAGATCTTTGTGGTAACTTGGACTGTTATTTTTGATTTCTCCAGCGAGTGGTCTACTTTTCAGGAAATGCAGAACATTGGCAGTATTGTTTCTGGTCCCAGTTCTGTTTGCCCTGGTATTGGTGATCCAGAGAAAGGGATCCATAAGTAGGGAGCTGTAAGGGGATTAAGTTGTCTAGGCTGGTGGACTCTGGTGGCTCACAGCATCCCTGCAGTGAGAGCTGCCCTGCTGTGGACCCCTGTCCATGATGTCTTGGATGGTAGCTCTGATGGGGCAGCCCTTCCTGCCCACCCCAGCAGTGAGGGAGTGCTGCCTCTCTCTGGGATGGGCATGGCTGGGCTGCAGAAGGGGGCCAAACACATGGGAGAAGACTGGGGGGATAAACAAGATGCACATCTGGGCAGCCATTGGGATGTTGCTTAGTTCATCTCTGTTATGAAACTGGCACTCAGATATTCTGAGTGGTAATTCAGCACCTTTTAGTGCTCTCCCTCTTTGCCAGCTTCAGGATGATTTGCTAGTGAGTAATTTTACATTATTTAATGTAGCCACTTTCCTTATAGCTCTTTTGTTCCGTGAAACAATTCCTTATTTTATTATGCAAACAGTACATTAAGACCCTTGTGGGTCTGAGCTCCCAACAGTGCTTGAGATGAAGGCAGAGAAGTAGGTTATTTCAGAAATCATGACTCTCTCCTCTAGAAGCTTTCTTGGAGTTCTGCTTTAACTGCTTTTGATATTATATGTGCTTAAAAAAAAAGGCTAAAAAAATTCAGTACTTCCTAAATGTTATAGAGCTCAAAAAATACACTGTATGCCTTGTCACAATATTTAATACAGAGTGCTATTTACAGTAATGAATCAAAATGTCAGTTTTTAAAATATGAACTGTCAGAGTGTTCCTACTTCGCAGAAAACTTTGATATGACAGTTTGTTAATCATATGACTATTACATCAAATATGTCTAAGAGTACTTTTGCTCGACAAAGTCTTTTTTTATTCTTTTCCCCTCCTTTTTCCCTGTTAATTCTGGCAGGGTTGTTTGACTGAATGCACTCTAATTAGAGTTCAGAAGAATCCAGAGCTGAATGCTTTTGTTTATGGACAGAAGGGATGTGTCAGTGCCTGTGTTCTTGCTGGTCACGGTCGCCTAATCTTAGGTACAGCCTGGTTTGGATCACATCTCCCTTGTGAGCATGGTGGAGTGGTGCTGATACCTCTGGGGTAACTGCATTTGGGCAGCCGGGCTAAAACTGTCTCTTGAGTAATAAAATCTGGCTTGTACTGTAGCATTTCTAATCCCCACAGCTTTAGCATGAAGGCACAAGGAAAATAAAGATCTCGAGGCTGTCTGCGCATCCTCAATGAGCTGAAGGGCTGGTGGTGCAGGGCAGGGCTGGTGTTGTTTCTTGGGCACGAGGCAGGGGCTTGGAGATACCAAGGTCCTCTCCCCAGTGCCTTTGATTATTCTGGACCCAGGTCAAGGAGTGGGTTTGGGCTCTGATTTCCCTTCCATTAATTTAGACCAGAATGTTTAGCTTTTTTTTTATTCTTTTGTTTGCTTATCTGCAAAATGGGAGTAATTAATTGATATTAGTTAACTCATAAGTCTCCTTAAAGCCGATTAGTCAAACAACTGC